TCTCATATAAGAGCCTCTATCGTCAAAAACCCGATGATCAATGTCAATTTTGTATCCATCCTCTCCATACGGGAATAAAATTGGATAACTTAATGCCACAAAACTTGGGTACAAATCACTAATCCTTTGAAGACCTTCTTTTGAATGATAAACAATGACATCTTTTCCATGTTCAGAAACTCCAATATCACCAACCATTAGACCCACAATTGTAGATGCAGTTGGCAAATTGTACTGTCTTTCATCCTTTTCCCTATGAATTTTTAATTGTAAATGCATTTCTTGAATACCATGTGAATGGATATTGTCCCTGGCAAATCGAAAACTTTTAACCAATTCATTGTTCCTATCTAGCACGAATTGTAATTCCTGCAACAATCCCCTGTCAATGCCATTGTCATCTATATTACCTTCCATAGGATTCAATTTGTGATTAGTTTCACACTGTGTGTCATAAATATAGAGTTGTGTAAAGCTAGGTTTCTTTCCAGTAGGTGGAAGCAATAACCGTATACGATGGAAATTTTGTCCACAAAGTTTGAAAACAAATGGACCACTCCATTTGTTGATATCACGATCAATTTTCCCTCCCATTGAAGTAAATAAGAATAATGAATTGTACATTCTTATTTTGTTTCTGAATTTAGCCCCTTTAGAACCATTGGCTACATCCAACAATCCCTTCAATGGTTCAGACAGTTCTTTCAACAATAGTAATTGAACTTTGTCATCCATACAACATAATGAAAATGCAGGAGAAGTTGGATTTTTGCTCTTAATAGTACGCTCTTCATGCCACAAGATTGCGCCATAATACTTGCAATTGTAAGAAGGTTCGTGTAATAACTACTCCCTACTCAAATACTCATAAAAATATACATAATAAAATACATGTATAATAACATAAGTAGTTGGGCCCAAATTTTTCTTTTATTAAATATATACATTCTTTATACAAAATTAGTATCATAAACAAAAACTATGTAGAAAGTGTAGCCATTCCTCCTCGCATGCCAACGTCCATCCGATCGTGTCCTCACCTAAATCCTGCAAAAACATAGAAAGACAACGGGGTGAGCACAAATAATGCTCAGTAAGTAAACCTTCTAGTCATCTATCCCCGTAACTCTCTCTCTCTAAGTCTTTCCTTACAATTCTCATTTACTCTCTCTTTTATATTTCTCTCTGTTTTCTCTTTCTGTTTCTCTCTCTCTGTTTCTCTTTCTTAGAACTCTTTTCTACTAACTCTCTTTAGTAAGTCACGGCCGGGACTCGCTCCCGCTCTCCGTGAATTCTACTCATTCTTAGCCGATCGGACTCGGTTATGCATGGATTCGGAACCCTTGGCCATGTGAGTATATAATCTCTCTCTTGGGTACTCTCGGGTATAGCCCTCATCCGCATGCACTCTCACGGGCTACACCACTTCTCTCTCTCATACTCATGCCGCTCTCTCAATGCGGTGTACATGCAGGAATACTCTACCCATTACTCACGGGTTCCCCATCGCACAACCTACTCTATTCTCTTTTTCTCTCTTGCTCTTAACAAAGCTCACACTCAAAGTTCTCTACTCTTTTTCTACTCTTTCTCTAATGCATAATTAATAAATATGGATGATTCATGCTCATTAATACACTCATGAAATGCACAAATGCAATGTTGCATCAAAATAGTCATTCTGCATATGTCACACTCAAGAAGGCATAACTTGAGTTATACATATCGGATTCTACGATTTTGGTCTCGTTTTAAAGCTTAGAGACAAGGCTACAACTTTTATGTTTTAGTCTCAACCCAGTTCAATCTGTAAGATGCCCAAAAATCACTCAGAAAGTCACGGCTGTGACAAGGCAGTTTTCACTTAGGCTTTTCACTTAGGCATTTCATCAAACAATAAATGTGCAAACATAAATTCTACTTTAGCTATAACTCTTCTTCTTTCTTTAACCATCCAAAATGGGAGTAAAGCTCCCTTGTATCATCACAAAACCTATCAAGGAAAAACACTCCCAAAAGTTTACTCAAACTTCAATCAAACTTCAACCCATCATCATACAATCAAAGCACTTCTCATAATTCAAATATATCCAACAACAAGCATAATTCATCATCAATCTCATCTCAATTTCTCAATAATCATAACACATACATAATTAAAAGAAATATCTACTCACTTGATTTTCTTAAATCTTAACTTGGTTGGATTTACTTACCTTGAATTTGAGCAACTCCAACACTATAATCTCTCTTTGATAGAATTCTCTTTCCTCTTAAACCCTAAGCATATAAAACCATAAGAATTCAAAACTTTAAAATTTAATCTCACATCTTGATGCAAGAATCTTACCTTGGATGCTTAGGATTGAAAATCCACTCAAAAATACCCAAAATCTATGAATTTCCTTGGAAATCTAGTGAAAAAATTTGAGAGAATTTGAGTAGAGAATGGCATGAATGGAGGGATAGAGTGGCTAGGGTTTCTACTCTTGAACTCTTATTACATAATAATATATATAGTTTCCTATTTTGCCCTTGCTCTTTCTTAAAAATTCCATCTATGTCCCTTAATCAATTACAATAATGCCCTCATTTTTATTACATTCTCCATGAAATTCTATCTCTTTTCACTCCCCAATTTTTCAACTAATTTTGAGTGAAAAAACCATTTTACCCCTAATGAAAGTTTAAGGGATTTTCTTCATATTTTTCTCAAAATAACTTTAACAAAATTCAACTAAGGGCCAACCAACCAAAAATAACAACATGCAAGCTCAAATGAGAACAAATCAATAAACATGCAAGTAATGCAACAATAATTTAACTACATACCTCAAGTGGGACGTTACAGTTCGTCAAAGTTTCAGGGCTTCCTTTTTGCTGTTCACAAAAATAAAATTAATTTTAAAAATATAACAAATTAGTAATGTAGCTTCAAAAAAAAACAATAATTCAAAAATAAAATTGTAAGACTCCCAGTCACAATTTTCTAAGGGAGTAACCTATACATTAGATTTTCGTTTTATACGTGGATTAACACCTGCAAAATATAGATCTATTAATTACATAAATATTATGAAAATCAGGACATTGTAATTATTTAAAAATATAAAATTCGTTACCTCTCTTTCTTTTTAATATAGACATTCTGTATGTCTTATTCTCTTTGAATTTCTACTTCTTCAGTATGTCATCTGGAATTCAAAATAATAATAATAACAACATTGTCATATTATTATAAAACAAACAAACTCATTACAACAAAAATGGCCTACGGTAACACTGGACAGTAGCACTTTTCCTTAAAGTGTTACTGTATACTATCTATCGTAACATTTGATCTTAAAATGTTATGATAATAATTTTTATATGTAACATTTTAACTTTTTGTAACACATTTTATATCAATGGTAACTCTTTTTTGTAAAATGTTACTAATATAAAAACTACAATAGAATTTTTAAAATGTTATAATAGACCTAATAATATAGTAACTTTTTTATAATGTTACCATATAATAAAAATATAGTAACGTTTTATAAGTGTTACCATAAACCCAAATATTTACCAGAAAACAAAATATTATTTCCCGCCAACATGAAATGAGGTTGATTTTGTCTCATTTTTATTGTTTAGAGGTCAAATTGACATTATTTGGGGTTTACTTTGTCACTTTTCATTCGTGTAGGGCCCATAAGGAAAAACCAGGTCAAAAATATTGGAAAGGTAAAAACCTAAAACTTATTCACTAACTCATCTCATTCTCTTCTTTGTTCGTTCTCTTCTCACTGACGACGCAGACTTCTTCATTCTTGAACTTGAATCTTCGTTCTTCGATCTGTTTAGTCTTTTCTTCGATCCTCTTTCATCTTCGACGGATTGATCATCGTGGACCTTCGTTGTTTGACTTCGATCCTCTTTGAATCTTTCATATTCGAACAATCGATCATCGTCAACATTTGTTCATCTTCCAATCGTCGATCATCTTTGATTTCAGCGACTATAACAGGTAAGTTTTTGTAGTGTACACAATTTCCCATTCTCGTTTTCATTATTTTTTAAAATAACCTATATACTCTGTCTTTGTGGGTGATTTTAAGAATTAAAATTAGTTCCCTGCTTGGTTGAAACTTGAAATTGATAAAGCCAACGACTTCCTGCAGAACATTTTCATTTTAATAATGAGTTCAACAGAAAAAATACCATGCTTAACTTTTTGTTATATGTATTAAGATTAGGAATTTTTACATGTTACTAGTTTTTATCCAATTTCTCTCTCATTAAATAGAGGTTGTATGGTTTTGCCATATGCTTATCATAAGGTTTATTTTGTACACTACTGGTGAGTACTTCGTTTAAATTATCACAATTTTTTTGTGGCTTTCAATGTTATTACTCTTTTTCATTGTTATCTTTCTTCATATCACTGTCGATGCTTGTTTTCTTTAATCCAATCAAGTTCAGGATCACATTCACATTTGGGAATTTACTTTCACTTGGGAGGCTTGTATTTTATTTTTTTATATGTTGGGGTGTGGTAATTTATTTAATATTTAGAAATATAGTTCAGCAGTATTGTTGTTTTTTGGATTTTTAGCTTATATTCTCCATGTTGGTTTAACGAACTGAATATTGAAGTCTTGTATGTGTAGGCGTGAATGTGTAAGTTTATGGTGATTAGGAGTAGAGTATATACAGAAGTGGGTGAGATTTTTATACTTTTTTCATAGTTTACATTATAGATAGCCGTTCAAAATCTTTTGATTTTTTCATTGATGAAGTGGCCAATTCCCACTGTACTCTAGGTGTTTTGCTTTGTTTTGTTTTTTAAGCCTGGGGTTTTGGAGGTAGGGATGTTAGGATCTAGTGATAGTTATATTATTTGGTTGAGATATCATCTAACCATCTCTACTTTGTGTTTTCAAAATATTTATAATTAGATGAAGGAAAAAGGAAAACAGAAGGATCTCTTGATTTCTGCATCATTGCTTTCTCCATGATCTCCTTTGTGAATGTTGGAACTGAGCATCATATTGCTGCTACCTTATTACGGCTTGGGTTGTTTAAAAACATTCAGTAGTTTGAAATTTTAATATATGCATTTTTCTTTAGAAGCAATAACCTTAGGTGATGCATTTAATGCGATCTTTCTTTGATTTCATTGAGCAGGTTCATAACAAACTATTGACACTTATAGCAATCATTTTAGAGTTTGGTGCACTAATTTGGTATGTTGAACCACTTACATACTCTTCCATTATGAATATATCTTCTATTTAATCTCACTCACACCACATTGGAATTTGAACCTTCAAGGATTAAAATGATTATGTTTCATTTGCTTGGGCATTTGGACATGCGAGTTTGGTTACGAGCTGCCTTGACCTATATATTAACAGTAAATTTGTACTCTATTTAAGTGTTATGCTTCATCACCTCTACCTCATGAAAAACCCACATCATTAATTACAAAGCCCTGCTTCAATTTTTTGATTCTGACTTTACATTTGCACCATTTAGTTTTTATTTAAGGAAGTGTGAGGCAATTCAGATACTCTTGGAAACAAATGCTCTGGACACCACCAGCTCTGCCTTCTGCATGGAATCCATCTCAAAAGGGTAAGCTAGTTACTTTCTTTTTATTTTGTTATCGAGGATTAAACTGTTAAGGGGATGAGGGCAATGAAAGCGTATTTTCATTTGGCGCAAAGATAGGTATCACACATATTATACTAGGTGTAAATGAAAATTTTAGCACCCTTATGAAAAATAAAACAATCATCAGGTGCTACTTTGCAAATGGTATTTCTACTTTAAAAGTGTTGGTGTAAGCTAGATTACCAAAATGAGCTAAAAACAAGTGTCATTATTATGTAAAATAATTTTTGACATTGCTTCACTTCACAGGTGTTCAGCACAGTGCCATGGAGTTGAGGCCTCAACTCTCAGCTACTAGCTCATACACTCTATGGTTGCAGGTTATGTTCTCTTGATTATGTTCTATTGGGCTTTTTATTTTAATCATATATTATGTTGGAAGTAAATCTATTAATATGTGATGTATAAAATGATTTGCCAATCTCTGTTTTTTTGTGTGGAAAACAATGCTAGTTAAATTTATGAATATTTGCATGAGAAAATTTTATGCACCTACCGTGAATCTGTAAGTTTGAGTTTTGTCCTTGGTGACATTCTTTATGGATAATTATTTTAGAAGCTCATGCTTCAATTTCATTCTTCATGCAGTTTGGGCTTGGGCAGCTTCAGAAAGTTGAGTCAACAAGTTGTAGGATATTCCTATGTGCTAGCCAGAGATCTGGACATTATCAAACTGTAAAGAAACAAAAAATCCCCAAAATGTGGATCTTCCACCTGTACTACCTAAGAGAAAGAAGAAGCCTTTTCTCATTCCAGGAGAGAAGATGACGCGGGCTGCAAGGAAGGACGAAAAACTTGCAGAAAGGCTATAGAGAAGCCCCTTAATCCTCCAGAGAATGGAATACTTATTCCTCAATTGGTCCCTGTTACTTATGAAGTATTAGATGCCTGGAAAAGTTTGAACAAAGGCATTGCACATCTGTTTGCATGTTATTCTTGTTTATGGTTGCAGGTAAGTTGTACTTAAATATACACAGAGACTCTTAATTCATTTTGCAGTTCACTCTTTTAACACGTATCTTAAAAATTTGTTATCTTTGTACTTTAACAGTGAGTGCTTAGAAATTCATGCTGCCCAGAGTGGTCACCACATTCAGATCTGCCATGGTGCAACCAGCCGAATGCACAATTGATAAAGCACAATTGGGAGTGAAAGATGGTATGCATGATGGTTTTTGTTGTTGGAATTTTTTGAATGATAGGAAAGGATTAACTATTGTTAATAGTTAATTTTCCAATTATGTAGGTATTATAATGTAAAAATGATTGATGCATATTTGGTAGGCATATATAAAGTTTTTTGTATAAGAAGGTTTATACCTTACAAAATAAGATATGATATATGAAGCTTTTTGTATTAGATTTTATTGATGTAAAGGATGTGGGTGCGTATTTATTAGGCATATATGCGAACTTTTTGTATATGAAGGTTCACCATCAATGAAATGTTCTTTGAAAAATTAGTGTATCATTGTTTATAATTTGTATTATTAAAATAACAACTGTAACAGTTTGTATATATGCTATAACGATACATTGATAGCACTTTTAAATACAATGAATGATACTTTGGTAACACTTTTAACATGTTATTAAAAACTCTTCTGTAGCATCTTAAAAATGTTAAGAAAAACCAATCTATAACACTGTAAAAATTTTACAAAAAACTAAACTGTAACAGGTTAAAAATGTTACAGAAAACTTATTTATAGCATTTTGATAATGCTACAGAAAATTAAACTGTAACAGGTTAAGAATGTAACAGAAAAATTATTTATAACATTTATGTAGTGTTACCAAAAATCATTCGTAACTATGAATCAGTGCTACAATATACTTAACAATAGCATTTTATAACAGTTATTGAAAAGATTGGTAACATGCAAAAATGCAAAAAGTGTTACCACTGTCAACTTCTTAGTAACACGGGCTATCACAGCATCCTTATAAATGCTACCAATTACCTACGGTAACACTTTTTGCATATTACCATGGGCCATTTTTGTTGTAGTGACTTATTCGAGAATTTTATTCCGGGTATGTTACCAATAACGAATTCATAACTTTTAAAAACATTTTTCAAATCATTTCTGCAAGAAATAATTAACAAACACATATTTCTTTTATTATGTTAATTAAAATGTAAGAAAAAGAAAAAGGACAGTTACCTTGGTTTTGAATTATATCATGGAGCATTTTTCTTTGTACTTCATAAGTATCTTCATCAATTTATAGTCAAAAAATAATCAAAACTAACTAACAGAACAAAGAAATAGATAATAATTATATGAAATTTTAACATTATCTACCTCTTTTTCTCTTCAATTTAGACATTCTCAATTTTCTATTTTTCTTGCACATTACACCTATAGCATCTCGACCACTACGTCCCATGGTAAGATTCTATACCTGACCAAACATCAAAATTATATAAATCTAATAATTATGTATTTAATATTTTTTTTATAATTATATGAATAATAAGAAAATGTTGTATGATATATACATTCATTCGGCATGATATTGTCACACTGTTTCTATAATAAAATATAACAAATCAAAATTTGCTGATATAATATTATTCATAAAAAATAATACTGTTATGTATATTATTTATGTAACAATTACGTATAATCTATTGTTCGCACAATAGTTCATTGTAGTTTATGGTTAGGCAAATGGTCAAAAATTAAAATTGTGATCAACTTGATGATCAAATTGGTTCAGCACATGTATTAGGAAATAGTAGGAAAATAATTGAACAACATAGACAAATAAATTGTTGGGAATTGTTCGGCTTGTGTCTGCTTATAACAACCATGAACATGAAAAGCAATTGAAGTCTAATCTAAGGTTCGGCATGTCAATAGTAATAAACAAATATATCAATCATTGTTCGGCATTAGGTAATTACAATTATAGAATCAAGTTTAACGCTTGACAGCTGTTTATGTAAATGACTATTACGTGAACAAATTTGATGTTTCCACAGACAATATATACCTTCATCAAATAACAAAAAGAAAATAATAATAATAATAATCTGGCAAAAGTAAAAGATAACAATTTAATATTGATTACATATCTTTATTCTAATTAATTATGTAACAAACAGCTAATGTAGAAAATTGTTAATATATATATATAGAATCCATTCATATTCAAATAAATATCTCTAACCCTTCATATTAATTTCACATAAACATAACCATATAACACGTACAATGTATTCTTTCAAATTCATAAATTTCAATAAGACACCTTATCAATCCCTTCAAATTTATGTTCATTGATATCAAGATATCTGTAATCCTTCACGTTAAATTTAACAAAAACAGTAAAACATAAAACATAATAAAACGTTTAACTTTAACGGAGAAAATACATTCATTACGTGCAGCAGGAATTATATTGTAATTATGAATAGGTTTGTTTTTTTTTTTTTTTACAATTTTATATATCTACATCAAATTAATATAAAGAATATTTACAACAAACGGGCATGAATTATAAATACATTATAATTGTTTAACAAAAATTGTTAAGGACATTACATTACCTTTAGCAAGAAGTATATTGCAAAGTTAAAAATGGTACGAAGGTTTTGTATGAAATCGGGCTGTTTGTTTTTTCCTTTAGTTTGAAACAATTACATGTGGTGGGGAAAGGTAAAACAGAGATGTTTGGATACTGAATTCAAGTATTGTGAAACTAAAGAATATAAGGTTTTCTTCTATAAACTTTAAGATGATATAGTAAGGCTTATAAACGTTTTTCAGATGCATATAATACAATGTATAAATCCATTAACAGTCATTAATACCAATAATACAACATATAACTAACACATACAACGTATCCATTCACATTCACAAAGTTCATTTTTAAGCACACAAAACACAACAGTCACAACGTATCAAACTACTAATTTTGAAATAAATATCTATATATTGAAGCTAATTGAAAGGGTGATAGATGTAATTAATGTCTATTTATGATTTATATACATACCAGGACTCCTAGGTTTTTTACTTTGTACGAAGCATTCTTCCGCCGTTGTCTTGTTCCTCCTTTCTCTCCTTTCGTTGAAGAAATTATGATTGTTTATAACCTTGTGCCAAGTCATAATCATCCGAATGGTTGGAAAACAGTTTTTAAGTATTGAAGTTATATACTTGATACATAAAATCACACTTCTTTTTTCTATTTTTAACTATTTTGACGCAATTAAAAAAAGACCCAATATCCCTTTTTATTTTTTTGAGAGTACGAAGGGTAAATGTTTGTTATTATAAAACAGCAATAAGCAGTGAAGGTGGAGTGATATATATTTTTTATTAGATTGTGAAAAAGGAACCTAAATAATTTGCTTAATCTACCTAAATACAGAGTGACAATTTCATATAGATGGTCAAGATAAAAATAAGAGTTAAATTTAATAGTAAACGTTTTCCAATAAAAATAGTTTGATATGAATATTTATTTAAAATATAGATATTTAAAAAAAAAAATAATTAAGGGGTGAATTTTTTAAGAATTTGTTAATTGTGAATAAGTTTGGATTTGTAAAATTTAAAATTCTTCAAAACGGTGCCGTCTAATGTACTGACCGAGTGACCGTGCCTAAAATGATTTTGAGGGTTTAGGGCAATCGCCTTTTGGTTCTGCTTCTTGTGCATTCCAATTGTTTCACACTCTGTTGTTAATAGTTGGATTAATTAGGGTAAAATTGATTGATATTCTGGTTTGTCATCACCGTTTTCTTCTGACTTTGACATCAGTTTGTTGGTAAGTGAACTTTTTTCCTATTTTAGTTAATTTGAATTCCAATTGCTTTTCCAAAATGTTTGCTTTAGAAATACCCAGCACTATTACTTGTGATGATCTTTTAAATTTTTTAAGTGAATACAATATCTCTGATGATGTTGATTTATTACCTTGTGATGCAACTGAATTTTTTATATGCACTACACCTCCTCCTGGGTTTTTTACTTTCTACGAAATATTTTTCCAATGTGGTCTTGTTCCTCCTTTCTCTCCATTCGTTGAAGAAATCATGATTGCTTATAACCTTGTGCCGAGTTAGATTCATCCGAACGGTTGGAAAACAATTGTAGGTTTTGAAGTTATATGCTTGATGCATAAAATCAGACCTGCTTTTTGTATTTTTAACTATTTTCACACAATTAAAAAAAATATCCAATAGCCCTTTTTATCTTATTGAGAGTAAGAAGGATAAATGTTTATTATCAGGATTGTGCAATAAGCTGCGAGGGTGGAATGATAGATATTTTTTGTTGGGTTGTAAAAAAGGGTGGGGTGGTCAAATGCTAAAAAACTGGAGAAGGATATATGCGACATAGAAGGAAATGAATCTGCTATGAAAACATTGGAAGAAATAATTCAGAATCAAAAAACATTTGACATTTCTGATATGCTAAAGAGATACGCGCATTTTCGATCCAAAAAAGGTATTATAATTTTTAATACAGTTGGTTTTCCTTTAATTATTAGCTATTAGAAACTTATTGTTAATTTTTTTTTTTCTTTGTTTCTTTTTGTGTGAAAGTAACATTTGGAAAAGTTGTACGAATCTCAAAAACTTCAAAATCAATTTGGCCACACAAATTGATTGTTTCTGCTCATCCTGGACCATCTACAATCGAACAAAGTCAAAATCTGGTCGAAGAAGAAGATGAAGATACAAAAGAGTGCCAATTAATCAAGCAAAGCAAGCACAAAAAAAAAAAAAAAAAAAAAAAAAAAAA